CCCCTTCCCAGCCCCACAGATTCTCTCCCAGCCCCCCAAGTGGGGTCTGTGCCCCACAACCATCGACACCAGACCGGGAACAAACAAACAAAGGGGGGGGAGAGAGAGGCCCCCCCGACCCCCCCCCAAGGACCCCAAAACTCACCCCCTGGGCCCCACAGCTCTGACCCCCAAGTGGGGCTCAAGTCCCCCCACAGATGCTCCTGCAATGGGGCACAAATGAAACCCCCAAAGCCCCCAAATTCATCCCCCTCAAGTGGGGGTCAAACCCCCCCTCTGGACCCCCAAATCCAGCCCCAAAGTGGGGTCGAGTGACCCCGACTGTGCCCCCCAAATCCCCTCCCGGGCCCCACAAATCCCCCACCCCCCCTCAACCCAAAATGGGCCGTTTTTTACCCCAAAATCCGCCCCCAATTGGGTTCATCAGTGGCCACTTGGGACCCCAAACTCTGCCCCCCAAGTGGGGGCCGGTGACCCCCCAAAAGGGCCCCCCCCAAACTCTGCCCCACAACTGGGTAAAATCACCCCACACTCCACCCCCAAACTGGGCATTTTTAACCCCAAACTGGGTGGTTTTCACCTCAAAATCCACCCCCAAAGGAGGCGTTTTTCACCTCAAATCCACCCCCAAATTGGGCCTTTTTCACCCAAAAATCCACCCCCAAACTGGGAAGTTTTCACCCTAAACTGGGCATTTTTCTACCCAAACTGGGCCTTTTTCACCCAAAAATCCATCCCCAAATTGGGCCTTTTTCACCCCAAAATCCACCCCCAAACTGGGCCTTTTTCACCCAAAAATCCACCCCCAAACTGGGCATTTTTCACCCAAACTCCAACTCCAACCTGGGCCTTTTTCTCCCCAAACTCCACCCCCAAACTGAGCATTTTTCACCCCCAAACTGGGCACTTTTCACCCCAAAATCCACCCCCAAACTGGGCATTTTTAATCCCAAACTGGTCACTTTTCACCCCCAAATCCATCCCCAAACTGGGAGTTTTTCACCCCAAACTGGGCCTTTTTCACCCCCAAACTGGGCACTTTTCACCACAAACTGGGAGGTTTTCACCCCAAAATCCACCCCCAAACTGGGCATTTTTCACCCAAACTCCACCCCCAAACTGAGCATTTTTCACCCCAAACTGGGCACTTCTCACCCCCAATCTCCACCCCCAAACTGGGTATTTTTCACCCCAAACTGGGATTTTTTCACCCCAAAATCCACCCCCTAACTGGGCACTTTTCACCCCAAATCCACCCCCAAACTGGGAGTTTTTCACCCCAAACTCCCCCTCCAAACAGGGCATTTTTCTCCCCCCAGTTGGGGTCTGGTGCCCCCCACCCCCCCCCCGCGGATGCTCACCCCACATCTGGACACATCTGGGCCCCTCTGGGCTCAGCTCCCCCCACGGCCCCACAGAGGCTCCTGCAATGGGGCAGAAATGAAGCCCCCGGACCCCCAAAAAACCTCCAAAAACCCCCCAAAACTGGGCCCAAACCCCCCTCAAACAGGGCACAAAACTCCCCCCAAAACCAGGCCCCAAACGGGGTCAAACGGCCCCAAAATCCACCCAAAAGTGGGTCCAGGAGACCCCCCGGAGGAGGCACAAAAACCCCCCAAAATCACCCCCCAAGCAGGGCCGAGTCCCTTCGTGGGCCCCCCCAAGATCCGCCCCCAAACTGGGCCTTTTCACCCCCAAAATTTACCCCAAAGACCCCAAAATCCACCCCCAAAACTGGGCGTTTTCTCCCCAAAAATCCACCCCCAAAACTGGTCATTTTTACCCCAAAAACCCACCCCTAAAACTGGACATTTTCACCCCAAAACCCCCCCTAAAACTGGACATTTTTACCACAAAACTGGACATTTTTACCCCCAATATCCACCCCCAAAATTGGACATTTTCACCCCCAAACCCACCCCCAAAACTGGACATTTTTACCCCAAAATCCACCCCCAAAATTGGACATTTTTACCCCAAAACTGGACATTTTTACCCCCAATATCCACCCCAAAACTGGACGTTTTCACCCCAAAATGCACCCCCAAAACTGGACATATTTACCCCAAAATCCACCCCCAAAACTGGACGTATTTACCCCAAAATCCACCCCCAAAACCAGGCATTTTCACCCCCAAAACTGGACATTTTTACCCCAAAATCCACCCCCAAAACCAGACATTTTCACGCCCAAAACTGGACATTCTCACCCCAAAATCCACCCCGAAACTGGACATTTTCACCCCAAAACTGGACATTTTTACCCCCAAGATCCGCCCCCAAAACTGGACATTTTCACCCCAAAATCCACCGTTTCCCCCCCCTCCCCCCCTTGGCCCCGCCCCCCGCTCTCACCTCAGCCAATCCCGTGCCGGGAAGGAGGGGGGAGGGGCCGAATATCGTCTCCACACCAACGAGACTCCGCCTCCATCCTGAAAGGGGGGGGCGGGGCCTCCGCCCCAAGCCACGCCCACACCGACCCCACCCACCCCCCCCTCCCAGTTCAGGGGGTGGGGGACACCCAGTTACCCCAGTTCACCCCTCCCCCGCTCCCAGTCCACGCCCCCTCCTGGGCCGTCCCCGCCCCCTCCCCCCAGGCGGCCGCGGTGGCCCCTCCCCCCGCCCCAGTCCCGTACTGGTTCCCAGTTGCCGCCGCGTACTGGGAGGGGTCTGCGGCCGCCGCCGCCGCCGCCCCCGAGGCCGCGTACTGGGCGGCGCTGGCGGCGTACTGGGCGTACTGGGAGGCCTCCGACCCCGCCCCCGCCGTCCCCGCCCCCGCGTACTGGGAGCCGTCGGTGGAGCCGTACTGGGAGTACTGGGAGTACTGGGAGGCGAACTGGGCGTACTGCTGGTACTGGTACTGGGCCCCCGCCGCCGCCAACTGGGAGGAGGTGGTGTTATACTGGGAGGAGGAGGAGGAGGAGGAGGAGGAGGAGGAGGAGGCGCCGGTGCCGTACTGGGCGGCGCCGGTGCCGTACTGGGAGGCGCTGGAGCCGTACTGGGAGGCGCCGGCGCCGTACTGGGAGGAGCCCACGTTATACTGGGAGGAGCCCACGTTATACTGGGAGGAGCCGAGGTTGTACTGGGAGGAGCCCAGGCCGTACTGGGCCATCCTGGCGGCCATGGCGGGGGTCATGGCGAAGGGGGAGGGGCTCCGGGGGGCGGCCCCGCCCCCTCCCAGCGAGGCCCCGCCCCTGCCGTGGTAGCAGCAGCCGCGGTGGCCGCAGGGGCTGATCCGATTGGCCGCCGCCGCCACCGAGGCCACGCCCATGCCGGCGTTGCCGTGGAAACGGTGCAGGCAGGCCCCGCCCCCGCCCAGGCGGGCCGAGCAGCCCAGCCCCGCCCCCAGGTTGCCGTGGAAACGGTGCAGGCAGGCCCCGCCCCCTCCCAGGCGGGGGAAGGCCCCCCCGGCCACGCCCCCTCTCATGAAGGGGCTGGGCGGGGTCCTGGGGCTCCACCCCCCTCCCCCGGCCCCTCCCCCCCGCGTGGGCGTGGCCAGGAAGGGCGTGGCCGCGCGCTGGAAGGAGGCGGAGCCGGGGCTGCGGGCGGCCAATAGCGGGAAGGGGCCGCCCCCCCGGCCGGCCACGCCCCCTCGGGCGGTGGCCAA